TACTGATTGTGCAGTAGAGAAAAGCTAGTTATCTCTACTGTATACACAAATATATGTATATATGTATACAATGACCATCACTGTCAAAGAAATATATAGCGTAATTATTGTTATGAGAATTGGACTTCTCATTTATTTCTGTATGTGAGTTAAACTGTAAGTCAGGATATAATGAAATGCAATACAATGATTTCCTTTATACATAAATACTAATACATATTTATCTGTGATTTCTGTTGTGGAAAGATGCAATAGATACTCAGTTACTTTAAAATGTCTGAAATTTGTAGGGCTAGGTGAGCGAGTCAAAATTCTATCATACAATCCAAAAAGCAACTGTGAACTTCTGTAATTGCAAATGGTGCTACTCAAAAAAGAGGGGGGAAGGAAAAGGTGTCAGGATTGACACCTTTTTCTTGACCGAAATAAATATGCGAGGCATTACGTGGCAGTTGGCCTGTGTGCACGTGTGATATCCAGACAAATTCCCTGGTTTCCAGGAGCAGTCAGCGAGAACTGACTAGAAAGGAGATATTTCTGGCTCCTGCACTATGCACCTTGCCCAGAAAAGCTCTGACAACTTCATCCACCTGCTACATACAAAACTGCTCTAGTTTTTCACAGTAAGTGCTACAAATCCTTGAGCAATTTTGGATTTCCTAGGCATGACAATAAGCCATTTCCATCCCAAAGGAATAAGACATCGCCCAGAAGAATACAAACTGAGTGCGCTGAGAAGCAGGGACGACTCAGGCCTTGGTTGTTTCGTATTTGTAGCCCCTTTGCAGACCATCTGTTTAGTAACCTCACTGGAGGTAGGTGAATAGAAGCAACCCCCAACCTGAGACTGGCCTCACTCAGCCTGCCAGACGGATGTCATGAAGCGCAGCCAGGCGCAGCAGGCATGCCAAAGTCGGGCTAGCAAGTCTTTGCTGTAGGTAGTTTTTGAATGTTTGTAGATTGGGCCAGTGAAGCCTTCGGTAGCAAAAAATGTTTCTGGGCAAACTCTAATGATTTCTGCACTTAAAGTTTATCAAAAGAGGCTATGAATATGCATATCAGGACATTGCCCATCATTAGAGAAAAATCATTATGGCTGTCCTAGAACTGGGTTTGGGGTTTTTTTTTGGTCCTTAGGTATTATGAACTTGCACTCTGCCAGAAACTGCTTAGTTTGTTTGCTTACATTCAAAATGCCGTGCAATCTTCTTGTTAGGTTGGTATGAGTAACCTTAAATATTGTTTTAACATGGAAATTGAAAATCACTAGAAACCCTTAGATTAGAAAAGAGTAATCTGTGAGAGTCTAAGTAATGGGAAATAAATGTGTTGATGGAACCCATATTTGTGTTGGCAGGTCATCTGGCAAGCAGTCCTGTCAATAGCACTCTGGCATCTCACATGAACAAACTCAGACAAGAGAGAGTAAGAGTTGTGCAGTCATGCCAAAAAGCCATCAGAGAAGAAGAAAGATCTGATAAGACTATTTCTAATATAGGAAAGAATTGAACTACATATCAAAGTCAAAAGATGTTATGAAAGATGGAATTCAGTTGACCTAGCTTTGCAGTTTTATTTAGCAGTTAAGATGAGGATACTATAATAACAAGGCACACTTTGTGAAGAAAATTTGTATGATCTTAGCAATGAAAAATATATAAAGCATAACTGAAGGAAATTTCAAAGGCATGAAGCAGAATCGGGCTCTTGTCATTTATTCCAGTGCAGACTTTGGAAGAGAACTCAAAGAAATAATGAGTTTGGCTTGCTTCTGTCATAAATATTCTGGAAGTTTTGCTGCAAGCAAAGCGCACACCAGTAGAATCTAGTTTCATCTGCAAGTATCTACGTTAAATGCCTTGTAGACAATTTTGCTTATTTCAACTATCTGAAATGCAAAGCTTGGTTTTTAGTCAAGCTTGTAAGGTCTCACCAAGAAGATGCTGTAATTTCTAAATTATTTCAAAGAAAAAAGATAAAAGGGTTGACAATCCTTGAAAAAATGTTCACATGTGAAATCCTGTATTGAAAAGCTTTGAGGAAGGTTCAGAAAGCTTTAAGCAAATTGGGGAGGAGTTCAAAAACTGTTTCCAAACTATTTCACTCTGGAATTCTTGATAGCGTTTTTGTTAGGTAAGCGTCAGTCTAGTAAATAGGCTTCATTCAAATAATAACATACTCATTTTTTTATTAGGAGAGATTATTTTTAATAACAAAGGGTCTTGTTTGCAAAGTCTACCTCAAAGACTCCCACATCATCAACAAACAGATAAGCCTTCAAAAACACTAATTTTTATTTTGATTTTTTTTTTTTCATGTAAGAAGTCAGTCTTAGTCTCAAAATATTATAGATTAAAGTACCTACATAAGATGCAAGAAAGCCCTGTGGCATTCTGGCCATAAGGACAGAACTCAAATCTACAGGATCCAGCCAGGGCCTGGTGAGACATCTTCTTGCCCTCTGTTCTGCTATCCTCTGGCCGCTGCAGGAAGCGTGGTGGGGTTTTAAACTAGAACTCAAGACGTGCAGATCAATGTCAACTTAGGGTAACAATAGGAAAATAATTGGAGATGATGGTTGTGCAATAGCTGAAGCAATGCGATGTTTTTCAATTAAAACCCAGAGAGGGAGCAAAGCAGACCCGTCGCTGCTCCCTAGCTTGGCTGGTGCCTGAGCAGTGCAGCTGTGGCAAGTGATTTTTAAAGGCTGTTGCAGAATCTGGTTCTACTGGTTAAGGCAATCATATGAAAACTGAAACAGCTTGAAAAATATTATATTTTGTTTTGGGAGAGGAAAAAGGGGAAGACTTCTAGGATACAATATTACACTTGACTATTTTGAATATTAAAGAGGATGAGAATTGGAAATTTTCCTGTTTTCTGTTTTCCTAGAGGTAGGAAATGCTGTAAGCATTTGAAAATGTGACACTGGGAAAGTGTTTTCTTGATGACAGCCTCAACTAAATATCCCAAACTTCCCCTTGTTGTGTAGAAATGAGTACAACATGCTGACAAATTGGGTGTATATGCTGCATGTATAACTTGCTGAGGTACAACCTTAAGCAGGAATCAAGTTCTGAAACTTGAGGCGCTATGCAGAGACATTTATCTTCCTGAGTTAATAAGGCTTCAGGCTGGCTGATCTTCCTGGCATCTCATGTGGGTTTACTGGTTCAAGTAGTCAAGAAATGAGGTGAATGTATGTACTGTCATTCACTGTACATATGCCTCTCTTATTCAATGGGAAGAAATTCAAGTTTGCAAAACTGTAATAATTCTTTCAGTCCAAACAGGCAAATCACTCAATACAGGTATGAAATGACATACATTATTTAACAAAGCTATTATTTATATTGATCTTTTTAATCCGTTCACCTTCTCATAAGTTTTTCTAGTAGTCAATTGCTCTATAAAACTAACAATTCCTCACTGAAGAGCTGTTAAACAGAGACTATATTGCAAATAGTAACCAGCCAGGTTTGTTTTCTCCTGTTCTCCATAATTTTTGAAAACTTTATACTCATTAGTAATTCAATGCATGAGGAAAGGACACTTCAAGCTTTCAAAACTGGTGTCTGAAGTTCTAACATTTCTTTGCAGAGAATTTAGTTTGATTTTTTCCCTGTCCTCATTCCCCTGAAGAGTTTCAAGATGTCTTGCAGACAATTTGATGGAAGCCAAATCCCTAAGGATAGTTACAAACTCTTCGTGATCTGAAACTTATAACAAAAAGAGGGGCTCATCAATGCTGTTTTTTAAATTTGATTATTTTCTGGGAATATATTGTATCAGAGTAAGACTAATTCATTACATTTTGATTTGTTTTTTTTGTTTTTGGTGGTTTGGGGGGGAGGGGTTGCAAAGGTATATTTTGGAAACACTTATAAATCTTACGTAATTTACATTCCTTCCATGAATTTCAGTGGAGTTTGAATTAGACATTGGAAGATGAATGCTTTTTAAACAAATAATTCTGCAGAACTAAGAATAACACGGTGGTCATAATGATCACCTCATGACTATCAGTAAATTATGGTGCATCCAGCTGTTTTAGTTATTTTATGTCTCAGTAGAGTATGCAGTTGTGGTGTACAGGCAATGATACATGTATCAGGATATCGTTAATTTAGTAATACATTTTCCAGACTTTATGGATAATTTCTTTTTGAAATAATTCCTTGTCATGTTAGGCCACAAAATTGTGAAGTTATCAAGCTAAATTAAAAAATACTGAGGTATAAATACAGTGCAAGCTCTTTCTAAGAAAAGCAGTGCATATTCTTCCTGGTCGTGTCTCTTTGAATCTTAGAGGTTGCAGGCAATATGGAAAAACATGCCTAAAACGGCCAATATTTCAGTGGAAGGAAATTCACTGCTTATGTAAAGCGATAGCCTGGATTGTAGAGTAACTGCCCCATATAGCAATCCATTTTGAGTGTAAGGAGGTAAGTGAAAGGCATGAAATGGAACACATTTTGCCAGCTCGCAATGACATGAGGTCCCAGCAGGGAGAGACTGTAGACAGCTGAAGTAAGCTAAAGCAGTTCATAAACAGCTTCAACTCAGGGCCTAAGTCTTTCCCAGAATCCACAAGAGTCAGAGAAATATGAGTTTTGAAAATGCTTTTTTCCCTCCTTTACTCCCCCCATCCAAATGTTTGCACAAAAGAAAATACAGTTTAATTTGTACTTCATTTGATTTTGCTTAACATACAAAAAATATACCATCAAGTCACTTTTGTGTGGTCGCTTTTCAGGTAGAAAGTCTTGATTACTTATATGGAAGTAATCCTTTACAGGGGAGTGCTTTAATGAGAATGGCTATTAAAACATTCCCTTTACAAAATTTGCTGAAAATATAGTGTATAAAGTAGTTAACAGTTTGCAATATCTGACCTCTTGGTTTCTTTTCAATATCCTGATTTTTCAAATGTGACTTTTCTGAAATTTTATCTATATTAACTGTTTATTTTATTTTATTTTTTTATTTCCCATGTCCAGCGAAATGCCTCGGCAGAGAATCTTCACGTGGCCTCAAGAAAGGAAGAAAATCAGAGCATCCAGGAGTGCGATTCTCAAGATGTAAGCTTAGCTCACCTAGATGTAAGCGTAGCTCACCTAGAAATCAGTGTCTAATCTAGGTTGTATGAAAACACTAATGCTGTAGGTGATTATCAATGTGACTTACTTTTCCTAGTCAAGCTGGCACATATATTTTACAAGCCAGCTATATTCTGCGTTAAAGTGCTGAGGAGCAAATGCTTTTTGCTGTCAAACTATGCAGGTATACTCTCTGGGTTTCTTTTAAAGACTACTTAATGGAACTTGTAGAGCTGTTGTGGGAAGAAGAGCAGTGGAAAAGATATGATTTGATGTTTAACCATTTCAAGAATTGGTTTGTTCCTGGTTGAAGAGCTGCTGCATTACAGCAACGTGCAGAACCTTGTTTACATGAGGTTTCCACTAATAATCAGGCACAGCTGTCACAGATGCTTCATTTGATAAAACCTTCGGGGAGCTGTAAGAGGTGACAGTGTAATAGTTGAAAATATGTAATCTCGTCCACTGCCAGTCTAGGAAAGCTGCAAGCTGTGTTTTTCTTATGACACGTCTGACAGAAAGCTAAATCTGCTTTTTTTACTGAGGCAAAACTCTCATACAGACAGCATGGTGGGAGCTGTTAACAGAAATCCCAAATACATGTATTATGGCTGCAATTATAATGATACAAATAAAACAGGAAAACCCAGAAAGAATGAGAGAGAAAATTTGCTGAGAAAGTGTTTCGTCTGCTCAATAGTCCAGAAAGTATAGTACTACCTTGACTAATTTGCAGGTGAAATATAGAAGACAGCAGGAAAAAGCCTGTCAGAACGGCTCTTGAATGCACTACTGAACACATTACCTACCTCCAAATATAACAAACTCCTGTGGAGGTAACTGGGTAGCTTGCTGGTAGCGATCATAGCAATGTGTAGCAATGTGAAGAAAAGTTTGGAAGACAAATCTTAGATAGTTCAGTATCCAACAAATTATAAAAAGCTGTATATATTATCCATTTATTACAAATATGTCACAAGTTTATTCAATTATAAGTGACTTCCCCTCTGCCGCATCCTCTAGAGGGGGGCAGAGACAAGGAGAAATTGTGTATCCAGGGGAAGAGTGCATAATTTGCTGTTGCACCTTTCTTAATGTCTAAAGAGGAAGGAAATTTAATTTCTTATTACTAAAAATTGAAGAAGGAGAAGAAAGAATAAGATGTAAAATTCTGAAGTCAGGGTGAACTCCATTTAGATTATGACTAGAGGTTGGTTACCACCTGGGAAAGTTATGGAAAGTTTGATGGAATATAGGTTACTTTAGGTAGAGGCTGAATTTATTTAGGCTGAATATTTGTGGAAAGAGGTTCAAGCAGCTATTTTTTACAGAATTGAATACACTAAAGCAGAGAGAAAAAATAAGTTGTTAATGCATTTCGCAAATCAAGAGAGTATTTAATTTCTGTATCAAGTAATGCAATGAAAGACACCTAAAAGGTGCACTTTTCCATAAAATCAAGGATTCACTTAGTTTGATTAGGCGGTGGTGGTGGCGGCTTTTTGTGCTTCTAGCCACTAGTATTTTTAGCCATTTAGTCAGCATGGTATGCTGCTTGGTATGAAATTTGTCTGAGAAGGCAGAAGATGACTACAACTGGAGTTAGAAGTCTTGAGGAGTCGAACTATTTTTCATGATTCAAGTTAAATTAAAATCTAACCCTATTCCCTGCCTTCGTCTAAGTAGCATTCTAATTCAAAGAAAAAGAAATTAGGCTATATACCTAAATTTGAGTAATAGGATTAAGTTTTATATAATTTAATCTCTCAATTATCATATTTTAAGACCAATTCTATATTCTATGAGACTTGCATTTCCTTTAAATTTTAAAACTTTAAGGTTTGTTAAGTCTGTATTTGACAAAACCTCCTATATGGAGGAAAAAGTAGTAAAATTAGAGAAAACATACCATAGGCGTATTCAAATTCACTGTGCCTTGCTAGATAATGTTCCTTATTGGAAAATTAAGCAGGCAATAGTTTTATCACTCTTATTTTTAAACATGTTGCTGCTATAAATTCTTTTTCCAACTGAAAAATGGGTATTATGTAATATTCATAGTTCCATTCTGTTCACATTTTAAAAAATCAATCTAGGATTCACACTAATAGACAAAGATTTCACTGTGCTGTGCTTGCAGTGTCTGTTGAAGGAATGGCTTTGAGAGCCAAGTTACAAAAAAGATTGTTAGGACAGCCACACCTCCAAGCAAGGAAGCCATAAACAGTGTGGTATTTATCCCAGTCAGAAACAGAATCTCCAGTGTAATTTGAAAACTTACAGATACAGGAAGACATGTTCTCTTTATATTAAGTGGGACTTTTAAGGTATATCTTTTTTTATTTATTTCCATGTTCCACTGGAAATAATTGTTCGGTTTGCTTTTTTGTTAAAAACAATCGATTGGTATGATTCAAAGACAATTCCAGGAGTTAGTTCTTTGTGCAGGTAGCTGTAAAGCAATATGCAGCCAGGAGCTATTCTGAAGAGCAGCAACCTGCATAGTGCAGCAGCGTGGCCTCTGGCATGCAGGACAAACTGCAACAGTCTGGTCCTAAAAGTGAAAGAGTAGATCGACGAATACAGCTCAGGTAGTACACAATATACATAACATTTTAGAGTAATACAAATTGTGGCTGCACTCAAAGTACTGGATTTTCTTGCCAGAGTGGCATTAAATAATTCTTTTCTCAGAGAATTTTCTCCCTTTCTGTGCTACCACCCCCACACTGACCCGTGAAGTTTTATGAGAAATCCATCCGCGCTCGCAGGATTCCACACGAGTTTTTGACAATGGTTCATTTGGAGCCTGTCATGGGAGAACAAAACATCCCAGTTTGTCAGAATCCCCTGATTTCACTTCAAATACCACAAAAACTTCAATTATGAAAATGGGAAGGTTGTCTTGTAAACTTGAGGATTGATTATAGAAAGGCAGTAAACTTTTCAAAGAGAACTAAAGCATTAAAATATATTTTTCACAAACTGTTCCAACTATTTAACAAGTCGAAGGACCTACCCTGCCCACTTTTTGTCCTGTGGGTTGCTCACAGTGATGAGTAAAGTAATTTTCCTGGTTGTTGTTTAAGTTGAAACTTTTTCTCTTTCTCTTACACGCACTGTCCATCTGAACATGGACTGCATGGGACGTAATAACAGTGCAGATGATGACATTGGGCTAGCAACCTCTTCCCACCTTTCATTATTATTTTTTATATCTTATGTTAACAGATATATATTTTTTTTAGAGACAAGGAAGAATTCAAATTTTCATCTTCTATTTCTTGCTCTTTGTCCTTGTAGAGTCTTCTCTGATAAATAAAAGTGATAGTGCTTTTATTTACTGCCTTAATTTCCTGCAGTAAACAAACACCACATGTTCATTAATCATTCAGTGACAAAGGACACTGAGTATTGGAGCAAAACTTGTACATGTTTCTAAGCAACCACAGCATTTTGCTTCATTTTCCTCTATCAGTTTCAATTGCAGAGCTTTGATCACATTGTACTCTCCCATTGCTTTCTCAAGGGAGTAATGAGAGAAGAAAAGAAATCATCATTATAACAAAATTTCAACCTGATAAAATTCTTAAAGTGAATTCAGTAATTCTGTTCCCTGAATGAGGACTATGGAGGTCATAAGAAGTGACATCATCTTAGTTTAACCATCTACTCAGTACACTGTGCTCTAAAATAGGAGAAGGATATGAAAAACTGCAGAGGTGTCTTACGAAAACATATATGCACACTTCACATACATCTTGCTCCGTACCTTTCTTCTAAACAATGAGGGTCAAAGGAGATTGAAATACAGATCTGTAATAAATTCATGAGCAAATCTGATAAAACATGTCCTTGAATAAACTGTGGACCTAACTTGGCTGATGATGACTAAGATACCTAGTTTGTCAGTTGACCTAACCATACCATCCTTTTCTCCCGTACCTGGCTTAGTTTTTTCAGAACTAGCTCAGTACTTTCTCCTCCATCGTACTCTACAAACATCCTGCATATCTGCTTTAGTGCCCATTGAAGCCAAAAGGAGGTCTGTAGTGACGCGAAGGAATGCTGAAGCTGCAATGTTTGGTCTACTAAGTCTGTATGATACCCTTCAGCAGCAGCGGAATTAGTTTTTAACTGTAAAAGCTGGATATAATAGCACTTATCTAAACTTCTTGATTTCCTGTCCACTTGTGATATGTTGGATGATTATTTGAGCAATAAAGCCAGTTCTTCTTTGCTGTGTTGATGCAGTGGAATCTAGTTACAGCCGTTTGCAGATCAAATTGCGTAGTTTGATAACCAAGGGACATGCTGAATTTTAACTGGCTTTTTAAAAATTCTTTTAAAATGAAGATGCATACTTGGCTGATCCGCCTTTGCAATTTATACATCCAGCTGTGAACCTCTCCAGCTCTGCTGTATAATTCACTAGGTGAACTGAACACCGTAACTTCTGAAATTTTGCATGCTTTACTGATCAAGCTGCATATTTTATAACCAGAGTTTCACACAAAGATACTTTGTTAATCAAACTGCACACTAAACTGATAAAGGCAGCACAGTATTTCAAGACTTATGCCCCACCTCAATTTTCCTATCTTGTTAAATTTCTCACTGTTCTAGATATTTTTTTCCTCTTGTATACATTTTGTAAAATGTATTGCTTAAGGCAAAATACACTTGTTCTATGAAAATTTTCTTTTACTAACACAAATAGATTGTTAATGTATTTCTTAAAGTTTATGTAGAGCAAGTAACAAGCATTCAGCATCAGTAAATTTGGTCTGTTTCTCTACCATGTAAAAGAAAATAATAATAAGACTTCTGTTGTGCTTAGTCATAAAAATTGTGAATGTTGGCCAAACTAAATTTTAAGGAGATGTTAAGAAGAAACTATGTAATTTGAAAGGAGTTAATAACAGTGAAAACAGTGAAATGGCATGGCCAACTATCAAACACACCTGAATAAATGTTTCCAG